ACTGCCGCTGTCGGTGCGGGTGCAGCTGCTGTCTCCGCTCCCTGTGGCCCCCAGCCCCAGCAGGCGCACCCGGTTCTCGGGCCACGCTGGGAGCTTCCAGCCCTTCTCCAGGGGCAGCTGGGCTGGGCCGCTGATGCCGTTGGGGCCGCTGTCCTGCTGGGCCAACTTCTGGCACAGGAACAGCTGCTGGATGAGGTCTGCGTCCGGGCTGCCCGAGGACGAGGACTCCTGCTCCACCCAGAGCGAGCTCTGCTTTATGAAAGACTTCTAGGAGGGAGAGAAGAGAGGGGAGTGAGCCGCGCTTCATCCTGCTTGTGACCCGCCTTTACCAACAGTTACCCAAGCCTGCGCCCTCGTGCTGGCCGCAAAGGGTGCCATGTGCCCAGCTGCCTTACCAGGACGGACGGCGGCCTCACGGGTTTCTTTATGTAGGTGCACACCAGCAGAGCCCCCAGGAGGCTCAAGAGCAACAGGGTGATGAAGGAGGAGCTCATGATGCTCGGGACCAGCTCTGCACTCCCTGCAAGAGAGGACGTGCCCAGGTGAGGGCGGAAAGGCAGAGTCTTTGGCGCACGTAGCGTGAAGGCCTGGCAGTGGGGGCACAGAGCGGCTGCCCTGGTGCGGACCCTCATGCCCCCGGGGCCAGGAGGCTGAGGAGGGTCCGCATCCCACAAGGCCCCCCCTTTCCTGTCTCCCCTGCTGCTTACTGTCTCTCTCGCCGATGGTGACGCACTGCTCTTCGGTGCGCGTGGTGCGGATGCGCCGGCTGGCCACGTCGGGCTCCACGCTGATGCAGTACTCTGTGTTCCAGAAGAGGCTGCTGATGTTGAACTCCGGGGCGGTCTCCATCACTTTGTACTGCAACGACCAGAGCATGGGCTGGTACCTGAGAGCCTCCAGCTCCTGCGGGAGTGCTGGGCCCCGTGCTTTCCTCCCTCCTCTTCCTCCACTGTCCCCTGGGGAAAGTCCCCAGGGTGCTTAGCAATGTGGCTGACAGCAGCTAGACCCCAAATCCCCATGCGCGTTGGTCTACCTACTGCAATAAAACATGCAGAGAAATCTCTCTGCGATGTTGTGGTTGTGAGAAAGCTTGATAGTAAGTTTTACAGAAGACTGTACTTTAAAAATGTGTTTTCCAACTTAAGCAGCACTACGTGTGACAGATGGGGACTGCACGGGACCAGCAGCTCATCTCACCATCTGATTGTCCTGCGCCCTCCTGACGTACACCCGGTATCGCCTCGTGTGCTTCTGTATGTCGTCGTATTTCACGGTGAGGTTCCCCGCCCTGAGGAGCAGCTGTAGCTGTACGTGGATGGTGTTGCCCATCACGGAGAGGCTCTGCCCCGACAGGCGCAGGCTGGCTGGAAACAAGTCAGTTGGAAGAGCACGTTACGGTTTTCTCCTGTTTGCAGCTCTGAGAGCCTTTGTAGCAGTGGGCTGAGCTGTGACGGTTCCTCGCAGCCGGTGCCGCCTGTCCTAGGTCTGTCCCATCCCGTCCCATCCCATCCCACAGCGCAGCTGCCCTCCAGGAAGGTATGAAGAGCGAGACATCCCTGCTCTCATCTGACCCAAAGTTCTTCCCAAGCAGTTTGGCACCCTGACCCATGCTATCCTTGAAGCCTCCTGCCCCCGGGTGGAGGCAGACATCCAGCCTACCTTCTTGCGGGGAAAAAGCGTTGGTCCTTTGCCACAGGGATGTGCGGTTTCCAGACACGGCCCTGACCCGTGCATAGTAGCGCAGGGCAGGATTCAGAGTGTAGTACGTGAGGTCGCAGGAGCGCCCCAAGATCTTCGTGCAGTTTGGGATGGCTGTCCAGGAGAAATTTGTGCCGTAGCTGCAGGGAGAAGCGCGTGGGGTGAGAGCAGCACGGGCAGGTGCCGGGGACCCGGTTGTCACCACTGCCAGTATCAGATCCCAGGCAGGGACCGAACTCCCTTGCGCCCCATTGCTGTACTCACACTGTGTGCTCCACCTCGTAGCGGACATCGCTGGGGGAGTCGTCTCCCGGCTCCCACCGCAGCAAGTGATGCGCTATCTCCGCAGCAAAGCGCACGCGCGTGGGGCTCGCCACCTGCGGAACGTAAGGCCAGCTTTAGGCGAGGCTGCACGGCGTCCCGTCCCACCGATGCCCGCGGGAGCCGGGCAGAGCTCCTTAAGATTGCCTCCTCCGTGGCTTGCCTGGAGCTTGACCCCCTGAGTTCAGTAGTGACCATCCACCCACCTGAAAAGCACAAGGACTTCCCCCGGCCTGTCCCATTTCCAAGCTTCAGTATTTGCTCATCCCCCTCTTTCTCTTCCTCTCTCTTCAGGGGAGAGCCCAGCTCAGCGCAGCCGAGAGGATCTCAGTGCTTTTCTGGCCCAAGGAAGGGGCCTGCGGGACTTGCGTCCCTGACCACCCCTGCCCTTTGCTAGTGGCTCTGTTTGGATTCAGCTTTCCTGTTTTGCTTATCTGCTGTCTGGAAGAAACAGACTTTTTCACACCTCCTGCCTGAATTTCGGTATTGCCACCTGGCAGCAAAGCACCGCTCGATAACATCTGTCACCCTTTCTGTGCTGGTTTCCTCAGCAGCTGCTGTCTGCCGGCAAACACTAAGCCACATCACGCCGCTGCCCGGGGGGGACACGGCTGTCAGCAGAGCACCGCGCTAGCGACCGGGGCATTTCACCGCAACACGAGCCACCCTGGTCCACGCTGATGGAGATAAGCAGAGCTGATGCCTGAAGGACTAACACAGCCTTTAGGCTTCGAAACAGCGGAGAAAGGCAAGTGGCAAGCAGGGAGCCGTGGCTGTGTCCTGCTCCAAGCAGGTAGGAGCCTATGGGCACCGCCAGCCTGAGCGCTGACTGCCCCGCAAAGGTGTCTGGGCTGCAGCTCCAAACCGCAGCAGCTCCGCTCGCCGCCTGCCCTCTGTGCCTTCCTCCGGCTCGGTCCCCAGCCCGGTGCCAGGATCTTGGATGCGGAGGGAAGCTGAGCAGCCTGCCGGGAGCCGTGGGGCTCAGACACAGCGAATGGGGAGCTGAAGACCAGCACGCTATGGGCAAGAGAGACTCACCGTCTGTCCGCCGGGCGAGGAGCAGTGCCACACACAGTGCCAGGGCTGTGGCGGAGGGGGCCATGCCGGCTCAGCATCCTCTGCGGGCGCTGGGTTGGGTGAGCAGGGTGCCGAGCTCTGCTCTGGCGGGCTGCCGAACGCTTGTTTTTCCACTAGAGGCTGGCTCAGTGACGTCTCGGAGGCGTTAGCGCAGCGGGAGGAAAGTAGACGTGTAGCAACTTCCACTTTTCTTACTGTCCACCCACTCACCCACAGCTAATCTCTCAGCCCAGGCTGGGCATTTCCTACAAGCAGCCTAAAGGAAGAGCTTTGGGGGCTTTTCTGAACAAAATGGTACACCGCTAAGAAATGGCCAAGAGGAGCAAATCATGTGTCTGCCTTTGCTGCTTCAGGTTAAAGGAGAAGTTAAAAGCACAGCACGGGGAGTGAGCGTTAGCACCTAGGATGACCTGTCACAGGGATTTACCCGAGCACAGCACCCACCCGGCAGTGACCGGCCAGGTCATAGCCAGCGCTGGGGTCCCTGGAGCCCCAGGAGGGGGTTCTTGCTTTCCCTTCCTTTGGGCTCAGCCTGTACCCTCCTGCTTCAGTCTGCAATTCACCTTTACCGTTTCTGGTGCCAAGTGACAACCTCTGGGCTGTTACGTGTCCTGCAATGGGTGGCATCGCAAGCTCTGAAGTCGGGTGCGGCAGAGGGGGCTGTAAGCTGTCCCTTGGCTCTGGCAGCCGTCGGCCAGACCCAGCACCCTGCAAAGCATGCGGCGGTGTGCCTCTGCCCCCGTGGCGATGTCCTGCCTATCTGGTGATGCTGGCCTCAGGAGCTAGGGCCTGAATTGCCACCGAGCGGACTGCGAGTCCTCCGCTTTGCTTTGCGGCAGGCTGAATTACAACAGAACTTGCTTGAGGGCTTTCCTGGGGCCTGTGCAAACCCAGGGGCCCTCATGTGATGGAGAGCGATTTGTCTCAAGAAGAGGAATTTCCCACTGGGGAATTGGTGGAAAGGACAAAGATAAAAAGAGGAAGAGAAACTGAGAGTGCTTTGGACAGCTTCAGAAAAACTTCAGAGCAGTCCCTGGCTTGATGGGCATAGAGGTGCAGGATCTTGGCTCCTTCTCCTGCAGTAGAGTGGCTCCTCAAAGAGCTATCTTAAATGCCTGAACTGGGGGATTTCTGCTTTTTTCCCTGACTTTGAAGAGAGTCTGTCCTCTGACTCATCCTTCCTGTTAGCGTCCATGAGCTTCCACAAACTCGCAGCCCTGCCAGAGCACCGGCAGATTTGTCCCCTGTGGCGTGGGTCCCGTGGTGCCGCTGAGCCTGGCAGCAGGACCTCGGACCTGGCTCTCGTGGCACCCAGGAACACGCATGCTTTGGCCCCACTCTGCCCGGGGCACAGGGCGGTGGTGCTGGGTGCCCAGCAGCGGGGAGCGGCTCTCCCTTGCTCAGGACCGTTTGTCTGCGAGGGCCAGCCGTAGAGACGGGCAGGGGAGGACTGGTCCAGCAGCAGATCCCCTCCTTGGCTTCACCCTGGCTTGGCTTTATTCTCCCCTCTTTGGGAGACCAGCTGACATCCCATCACTCTGCTATCAGCTTGTGAGTCAGATCTGGCAGCCACTGAATTTAGGAGTCCTGAGATGAAGCACAGCCCATCCCACACGAAGTCACAGCTCGTGTTTTGTGTAAAGGAATGAAAATCAAAAGCAATGGGACCAAAAATGAGGAAGGAGGGAGCCTTGTGGAAAAGACACCGTGGGGCTGGTCCTGCGGGTGAGGTGGTTCAGAGGCTTGGGAGAAGTGGTTGGCAATTTAGAGGAAAATGAAACAGGCTGAGGAGAAATGACAGTTCTGCTGAACGCTCAGATCGTGAGTGGCGCAGCCACCCCACGGTGCTCATGCTGGTACCCAAGCTGCTGCATGGGTGCGGGCACTGCCAGGTGCCATGGGAGCAGCTGGTGCCGGGACAGTGCAGCAGTGTTCCCCCCATGCTCCCCGCTCCGCGGTGCAGGTGCTGCCCAGGATCCCTGTCCTGTCAGCGCTTTCCCTCATCCTCCATGAAATGCCACTTGGCATCCTTGAGGCTGCAGAATTCATGTCTCTGGGCTACCTTTGCTGCCGCCAGCCCTGCCATGAGGGACCCTGCGGAGGGAGCCGCTGGCTCGCAGGGGGAGGAGGGGAGACCCGTCTTCCCAGCCCCCATGGCAGCCCCTGCCCGGCACACAGCCCGGTGCCGTGGCCATGCGCTATGCTGAGGCACCCTGCAGCCCCGGCACAGGCAGGCAACTGGGCAATAACCACAGATGAGCTTTGCATCAGGCATTGCTAAACCTGGAGCATCACCAACGAGGGCAGCCCCATGTTTTCAGTGTCAGCATGAGAGATTTTAACTTCACGGGTCAAACCAGCTCTCGAGAAGGCTGCTGAGTTTCCCTTTCATCTTCAAAATAATTGACTAATCTTTGAATAGGAATAGCCATGTTTTTAATAACCTGGAAATCACCTGAGTCAGAACTGCATAGCAGGTCTTTCTGCAGAGCCTCTGCAGCTCCTCTCAGGGGCAGC